AATAAGTAAACAGAATTAATTATAAATAATAGAAGTAAGTCCACAATTTTTTATATTATATTCTAAATGGTTTAAAATGATCAATTTCATCAGTTCATTTATTTATCTCATTAAAGGTAACAACATAAACAAATAATTATATACATCATTGAAAAAACATTCAGATAAATATTTCATACAGTTCTTATAAGAATTATATTCAGATTTCTCTTGAAAAGTTACAAATACAAAGAAGCAAAAGTACGCAAAGTATGATATTTTCTGAGCAATATCATTCTTGAGTGATGTCATTTCACAGAATAAAAATGCCAATCTATTTGATTCCAAAACTTTCCTAGAGTTAACCTTATTGAAGCAAATGCCTTTTTAGTTACCTTAGATGCTCTGAAAACTAAGCTCTGAAATATATTGTGAATGAAACTTATTGTTTAAAGAACTAGCATTCACGTATCTGATAGAGAATAGATGAAGATTTTGATCATATTCATGCCAATATAAAAATTCTGCTAATTCAAAATATTTCTCATAAATACATGATATGTTGAGTAGAGCTCGTTTTAGACTAGAAGATATCTTCACTCAGTTTTTTTTGAACATGTTTAGGGTGTCGAAAAAATTAACTTTCTCATCGTTGGCGACATGTGTAAGTATATGAATATACAGATGTAGTGGCAAAATAGAAATGGTTGTCTCCGAAAATTGAAACATCTGAAAAGCAATTAGTTTTAAAGAAAAGATACTTTATAGAAATCTAATCATCTTGAAAATTCCACCACACATGTAGCTGGTTGTACGAAGTCTGTACTGCATTTTTTCTGGCATAATGTTAGAAAACTATTCGCTAATTAAAGTGACAAGAAATTTATTTAGTTCTGAGCTAACATTTTGACATATATGTATGCTAAAAAGAATTAGCTTAAAACAATAAGCCTTATAAATAATAGCACTCGAATATGATAGATAATCATATCTTGTGTTGTCTGACATTGCCCATTTAATTTCCTGTTCTATAGACAAATGTTGAACTCATGTACTCTGGACAATGATTTTGCCTTCTTTTCTTACATAATCATTAACTAAAACATATTATGTTAATTATCTTGAAGACACTTGATCAATAATAATACCTGAACAATTATATATAAGTTAGAAATTATTATATTTTCAAAATGACGAGAATTAGAAGATTTTATCCTTTCATTCATTATAATTAAAATTTCATAGGATGGTAAGTTCCTGTTTCTATGACATTCAACAGAAATGACTATGAGAAGAATTTCACGGAAATTTAATTTATTATTTTGACAAATACGCGCAGAAATTTTATTTTAATATGAAACGAATATAGAAATATAGTTTATACATTTGGACGTCGATTGGGCTAGATGGGATTGTGGGTACAAAATTGCAATGTGTGTTATGTGAAGAGAAGAACCGTATCTACACCGTTATACTAGTTTTTTTTTTCTCATTTGCATAATTGTGGCCTAGCTAATAGTTTACTATAAATGTGTTTTAGAACTGAAAGAGTAATAAAAATAACTACCTTATAGCGCTATTCATCAATGCTAATATTCAAGTTATTTAATGAAGCATATGCAAATAGCTAACAGTAATAAGATGAATAGCATGACACAAATCAACTCAATCTTAAAGATAGACACTTCTTTTCTATATACTTCATATAATAAAATCAATTTTTCAACATGAGCCAGCGCGAAACGAAGAGTTGTACCTGTTTCAATGAAATGTGTAAAAATAAATTAGAGCTGTACATACTCGACACTTAATCTGCAGCATCGTAGCAATATTCTCTAGCTTGTATTACTCATTAAATAATGATGTGCAGAAATTGAAATTTATCATAAACTCTTTAATGCAATGTTATGATTATCCTTCTATTATTTATTACCAATGATTATAATACGTTCAAATAAGTTCGAATATTTATATACATAAAAAAAAAAGAAATATCTATAATCCAATGTTACATGAAATGTCTTTTTTTTGTATGAGTAAACTTAATTGATTTACAAGATTATGGTTCTAGGCATTTAAAATTAAGAATATAGAGATTTATTTAATGAGATTTAATGAACACGTAAATTTCATCAAGACTCAATTGATTTCATCTTAGACTGACAAGATCAAGATATATTTAGACAAAAACATATTCTCACTCAGATATTTGATAAATACAAGAGGTGATTCAATATACATATCAGTGATTTATTTAATGAAACTAATCTTTTCGTAATATAAAACTTAATTTTTATGTTTATAAAAAAGAATGATTTTGAATATGCTACAGTTATCTAATAAAGTTTAGTTTATATATGTAATGTTATAACCATATTGGTTTTTATTCTTAAGATTTTTATTGTTCACTTCAAATAATGATTGAATATAGTAAATAGAAATTCATTTTATCATGTATATAAATCTTATACAGTCATAAATAGTAGTATATTGATTTAGATTTATAAAGATAACATAGAAATAAATATAATTAGTTATTTTACCGCTATTTCTATTGCAAAAAAAAAAGAAACACAATTAATATGACATTATTCAAATAATATGATTTTCGTTAATCATAATCATATGTTCAAAGTCACACTTTGACTCTTAGCATTTATTACATCACATTCTCAAATATGCAGCATGAATCAATCAATCAAACCATTGAATAATTTAATAACCATGATCGTCACTTCTCAAGGCATACTACTACTCTTCAGTTAATTTGAATCTTAATGCGTCAGTGCCCTTTTTCGTTATGCTACGAAGTCACTTGTACCATAGTTACGAGATGATAACTATGTTACAGACGGAAAGACACAAGTGAATTCTCGTTTCAAGACTTGATCTTTTCAATATAAAGAAAAAAAAGAAAGATCTCTTGCTTTTTCTTGTTGATTTATTTAACGATGATGTTTATCATTGTAAAGACAATAAAAAAAACGTAATATTAACATTTTATTATTTTCAATCGTAACAATAATAAAATCTTTATTAAAATTTATAAAATTCTTGTGCATTGTTGTTTTTTTTTTATTACTTTTATTATTAAAACAGTTGAAAAATTAATTTCATTTTTTTGTTTCATTCTGTATTCTCATAAAATCGACATTGATTTGACCTTTTCATTTCAATAAATGTTTGTTATGAAATAGTAGGAGTCCATTCATTCTTTCATGATACGCATCGATGCTAACACAAAATAGAACATCGTCATCGATAAGAAGAATGTCTATCTACATTTAGTAACTATGCATGTGTAGTATGTGTTCATTCTTTACTTTTACTTTCTTTTTTTTTTTTTTTCTGTGCTCTATAGAATATAGTTACTCTTGCTCCTCTTCTATTCTTTGAGCGTCATCATGTTCAGTAGTGCTCAACCATCATAGTTTCTACTCGTGTTTGTTCGCGCCCATCTCTTAAAAGAACGAGAAAAAGAATAAAAAAAAAAAAAACGAGAAGAAAGTTTACTTCTTTTTTCTTACTCTCTCTCTCTCTCTTTTTCTTTCTCCTCATCATGGCATCAATGAATGGTACCTTACATTTATATAGCAATAGTAATCTTTTTGTATTGATACTATTACTAACGAATAGAACAAGTGCATGATCAACATTTCAGTACAACGAAAGTGAATACTATTATTATTATGGACAAATCATCGTCAACATCATTATCAAAAATAATTAATAGTAAAATTTCATCACCGAAGCATTTCTCATTTAATCATTCTTCAATGTTCTTCAGTACAAAATATGAACCATCAGGTAAATAGAAAAAAAAAAGAATTGTTCAGTGAATTCAAATCTATTTTAAATGTCTTTCATTGAAATGAATTATATATTATATTAATTCCAGATGACATTCGAAATCACTTGGGATTTGAAAAATAAAAAAGATCTGATTTTGTCAGTTAATTATCATATCAAGAGACAGATCAAGGAAGAATTGTTCATTAAGAATAATAAGTTAGGACAGATAATTAACTGAAAAGAATTTCTATTCAACAAAGAAAAAAGAACGAAATTAAGAATATATATATATATAAACTGAAATACAAATGATGATTATGAAACTACTATTTTTTTTATATTGCAATGTTAGGTTAATCGTAAAAAGATGAAGATTACATTTGACGTAGAAATCGTTTGTACTTAAAGTATTTCTTTTTTTTTCTTTGAATATACATTAAAGCCAATTGATAAAAGAATTTCTTTTTTTTTTTTTTATTGATAAACGATTCAAGAATAAGAAATAAGAAATACTCTTGAGTGATGTATGTGATGATGCCGCTGAATATTATGTAATAGAAAGGAAATTGAACAAAAAGTTAAATATTGAATGTAGTAAGTCATATAGTGTTTCTGGTTAATCGGTAAAATATTAAGAAAAATTCTTGAATAGATTTCTTTTTTTTTTCCTGTCAGTTCGTTTCCTTCAACGCTTCTCATACTAACAGTTGTTTCTATTGTTCTTTCTCCGTTTCTTTTTTCTTCATTTGCTCATTCCACAGACGGCCACGTATGACACCATCTATGAATGAATTAACCACTAAAGCCATAACCATACTCCTGGAGAGTAACAACAAGTTTCAACGCACATAAGCACATATACGTTTCTTTGCTTGAGTCTCTTTTCACATTATGTATGGCAGTTCTTATAGCGACATTTACATAGTCTCTTTTTTTTCTTTTTTTTTTTTTCCTTTTCCTAATATGGTTGTTTTATGATGAGTGCATGCACCAGCTGTATGCATTTCAGACATTGTTCTATTTGATATCGTATGCAAACTTTATTTCCAACATTGTTTATAAAATGATACAACATAAAAATATCGATGATTTATCTGAAAGATCCATAATAACAAATGATAAAAATCAAAGTCAAAGAAAATATTCATTTACTCAATTATCAATTGTACGAGAAGAAGATAATAATCAAACAATGATCAATCAACAATATGAAAATGATAAACAAAGTGATATATCTGATTTTGATATTATTGAATTCAATCATAATGATATCAAGGAAATAAATAAGGGTATTTAATTACAATTGATTTAATAGAGAAAAAAATAAATAAATAAATGAAAGTCATTGTGTTGTTTTTTTTTTATTCATATTAAAAAGTGAATAATTATCTCGTTTTAATCTTTTGAGTCATCATTCGTTCTCGTGTCCTTTTATAATCCATATCATGATAGACATTGTTCATTGCACGTACTGTACGTAATTACTCGCGTGGTAATGTCGACTTGACTATCGTACATACATAGATACCCGTCTCCGTCTTTTTTTTTTTTTGTATTTATTTTCCTATGTAAACATCCTGAATACATTGAGACAGACAGTATAAAAGTTTAGTTTGATGAGAATAGAAAGAGTTCATATGACTTACCTATTATGAATTTATATAAACGTTATGAATTGTTAGATTTTTATTTAAGTTTAGGTAAATTAATTTTTACTTTTCTTGTTTTTTTTTTTTTTTTAATTCTATTTCAATAGAACATGTTTGTCAAGAAACATCATTAAGTGTTTTATCAACAGCTGATTTACTTCGTGAAAGACTTGCTTTTATAACAGGTGGTACATGTAATAAATCTCCAATTCTAACATTTCCAGATAATCCACAAATTGAATTAACACAAGATAAATATAAAAAACTTGTTTCATATTTAACACAAGTACCAAGGTAGATGAAAATATGACTGTAGTTAAAAGATAGACAAAACACAACAATAAATCTTGTTTGATTCGTTTTTTTTTTTTTTTATTAGTGAAAATGAACGTCAACTTGGTTTTGTTATTATTATTGATCGTCGATCAGATCGATGGATGGCTGTCAAATCTATAATGGCTTATATTGAGGTGAAATAAATATCTTTGTTTTTTTTTCAGTTTTTAAGAGTGATTTAATTAAGATTTTTTTATAAATTAAACGTTAAGAAGTTTTTGAATATTATACTCGTATCAATTATGTTTGAAATAAAAATGAGATAATCAGATTTTTATAATAATATCAAGAATAAAGATAAGAATGTAAAACGAATTATAAAACTTTGTTAGGTTTGATAACATTTTTTTTTTTTACATAAGTCTTAATCCGAAACTAATGAATAAATCTTTGCACTATTATTAATTCTTTCCTAATTGCTTTTTTTTTGTTGATAGGAAACATTGAACATTTATTTCATATATGTTATTTTTTAGTAGAAAACATTTTCGAGCGTAGTTAATCAACAATGATTGATTTCGAAAAAAGAAAGATTTAAAATTTTATTGAAGGATTGACATAACATTGTTTTAACAAACTATGTCATATTACATTCTGATCATCTTTTCAATCAAAAATGATAATATGACCTACATAATTGCTTTTTATTGCATAGAAAAAAATTCTCGAGATAATTGTTTTTTTTTTTATAGTTACTGTAACAGATGTTGTACGTAACGAACATTATGACTTCTATTGATTGCATCTTCATTTTTCTATTCTATAAAAAGATATTCTAATATGTATGCACAGTATGAAATAACTATATTTTTAGTACTATAATATCTATTACCAAGAAAAAAATATTTATATCTAAAAACATTTGATACTAATTTAATTCAAACTGTGTCAAATATCAAATTCCTTTTTTTTTAAATTAAAAGAAAAATAGAAATTGTTTAACGATTAAATGTATATTTTTGATATTGAATTTTAAGGATTATTTTCCTTATTCAATTCAATGTATTTATCTTCTTCGACCAAATTCATGGATGCAACGAGCATTATCTCGTATAACTATTTTAAATGAAATAACTTGTTCACATCGTGTATGTTTAATTAAATAAATTAATATTTTAATTTAATTTATTTTTCCTTTTCTTTTCTTTTTTTTTGCATTTAGTTGATTGTTTGTCGAACATTAGCTGAACTTCATGAATATTTAGATGCAAGTCAATTATCAAAAGATTTAGGTGGTCTAATCGATTTTCGTCTATTTGAATGGATTGAACGACGAGCAGTAACTAGAGAAGATTAATATTTAAAATATAAGTCTCAATTTTCTTGTTGTTGTTGTTTTTTTTTTTTTATTTTAATAGGCAATTGAAAAATTAACTCAATCGATACATGAATTAAGTGAAATGTTACTTGTTTTTATCAAACAATGTGATGAAATCGAATTTCCTAATGCTGTTGAATCAACACAACAATTACTTATACAACATTCAACACAAAAAAATGAACTTGAACAAGAATTACGAAGAATAAAAACGTATGAAGTTGTATTGTCTTTTTTTTTTATTTTCTATTATTTCTTTTAGTTATTTTTTCATTTTTCTTAGTAAATATATTAAGATTATTTGACATATGACTGAACTTACATTTTTCTTATTTCAACAAGTGCTATTCATCATTCTTTCGAGTCTATAGCCTGCGTAGACATCTGAAGTATTTATTGTATGCTTGATGTGTACATATGCAAAGAAAGAGAAAGACATTAAAAGAAGAAGAAGGAAAAAGGTACATGTATTATAGACTCTTCGTCGATGTTCCTCTTTGCATCTCTGTTTCTTTTGCCAGTGATAAGATGACTGAGTTTAAGTGATGACGATGATGATCATCATCATCATTTATCTACATTAGTCTATTGACTTTATACATACTTTTGTTTCATTTTGTCTTTCTATATACATTCTAGGTGGGGTCATTCACTCCTATGCATTATTCGTCAACAGCATAAACCATCTTCATCATTTCATAATAATTCAATTGACGAGAATAATGATATTCAAAATCTAATATTATCACCCGATCAAGCTGCACACGCTCGTGCTTGTGCTAAGTAAGTGTGTCGAATAATATAATTATTATTATTTGCATATAAAAAAAAAATGAAAGAAAGAAATATGATGACATTTTTGTGTTGATATTGTTGTCGTTGTTATTTTTCATCATTTATCTTATTGTAATTGCTTTTCTTTTTTTTTTACAATAAGAATTTTATTTTCTAGTGCATTGACACATGTTGATAATAGTGAATCTGTACTTTTACAATTTTGGACATTACATGAGTCACGTTTAAATCGTTGTCTTGCTTTGCGTCGTTTTGAACAACGTTTTAAAGAACTTCAATCGAATTTTATTCAATTATATAATGACATAATTCAATTACCTGATCTAAATACAAGTTTACTTTTATTTGAATGTTATCGAACTGATAATAGTAATACTCGAGAAGAAATTGATCAAACATTGACTCAAGTTGATGACCTTTCACAACGTGCACAAGTAATAATATCATTCAGTGTTATTCTACGATGTTTATATGTATGTATGTATTTATCTAGACGATGATCAGTCACGCAACCCTACTAGCCAATGATGGCCTTGATTTGATTATGGAACAACAGAAACAAAAATCAACAGCTTATGGTATTGATTCCATTGAACCTAAATGTCAAGAACTAGAAGAAATGAAGAAAAAATTGACTGAGCAAATTGATGAAAAACGACATAATCTAAAATTATTACGGACATACATTGATAAGCTTGAATTAGTAAATAAAAACAAAACTCTTGACTTTGCTTTCTTTATTAATGAATTTTTTTCTCATATTAATGTTTAGATAAATGATTGGTGTACACGTGGTAAAGATATGTTAGCAATGCATCCAATTCATTTATCAAATGATAAAGCTATTCGTTCACTTAGTGAACTTGAATATTTTCTTGGAGATTTGTCAACGATAAATTTAGATGAATTACAACATACATTAACACCTGAACCGCTTCGTGTAAGATTTTAATAAAAAATTCAATATCATTGAATATTCAAATAGACTAAGTGACATTTTCCATTTCAGTGAACATTTAAAAATGTAAAGAGAATTTTTTTCAAGTTTTTATGAGCTATTTGTGTCTGATGATTAAATAGAATCTTTGAATGAATAATTTTCATTAGAATTTTATGAGAATGACTGTTACATTTAGTGACCGTCGGATTGATATCGAGATTCGAGTTCGAAAATTTTGAACTCGATGAGCGATAGTTATATTTTAAGTCTGCAAATTAATTCTATTTGAAACAACAATAAAGAATAAAAATAATAAATAGAATCGACTATAACTACACACAAAAACATAAATTTATTAAAAATAATTTTTTGTTAATATAATTAATATTTTTAGTCAATGATTATTCAAGTCTTCAATCGTGTTAATGATGTTCGAGATTTATGTGAAAAACGATGTGAACAATTACGTCGTTTAGCTGTACCCATAAATCGACCTGTACAACGTGTTCATCCATTACCATTACAACAAAATGAATCTCTTAATCTTATTAGTACGACAACATCTATTTTACAACAACAACTTAATGAATATTATCCTTCGTCGGATATTGAACATAATCTTTCATCATCATCGTCATCATCATCAAATAATAATAATAATATTATATATAGTGAAGGTACTATGGCTCATAATGCAAAAATGGATAAAAAACAAAGGTAAAAATAAGTTTAAAAAAAAAATGAAAATAATTTATTTTGTTCTTTATTTTTCTTTTTTTGAAGACATGTTGTTACTGAACTTTTAGCTACTGAACAAGTTTATGTTGAAGAATTACGTACAGTAATCGAAGTACTTATTTAGTCTTTGTTGAATAAAATTTGTATAAACAAATATTTTGTAACCATAGGGTTATATGCTTAAATTTGATGAACCAGAACGATATCGTTATTTGCCTCCGGCAATAATACAAAATAAATCAATTCTTTTTTCTAATCTACCTGATATTTATGCATTTCATGCAACGTAAATATACTTATAGTTTTATTTTTCATATAAGATAAAGAAATAATTTAGATCATTTCTTCGTGATCTTCAACAAATCTATGATGATTCATCATTAACACATGCATGCTCAATTGGTAGTGCTATTGCAGCATGTTTTATTAAACGAGTAAGTTCATATTAAGACATAATGTTTCTCTAATCCAAAACAATAAAATCAGATACAAAAAAAAACGACTTATTTACAAAACTTATAGTCAATGATAAAGTACGAATGGGAAAGAAATCTTCGCTTAACAATTAAAACAACCAATCTAAAATTATGAATCTTTACTAAACAATAATATAATGTAATACTAACGCTCAATTTAGCAATAAGGATTTACAAAGTATCGAAAAAAGTTAAAATTTAGTATATAAAAAATCGCATATATTTGCACAATAAATTAACACTGACAAGAAAGTGTTACCAAATGTCAATTCTCTTTCGAGTCAAGCCTATGTAGGTTCTAATGGATTCTCAACAGTCTATGGTTCTAGTTTATTTTTGCTGAGATTTTTAACGTTTACAGCAATTTCTAGCACAATATTCTGATCACCTTCAAAGGTACTTAAAAAATTGTTTTTCGAATTTCAATTTGAAACTTTTTACAGAGATAAGTGTCTATGATACTAGTTTATTATAATAATATTTTTTCTTATACTCATATCTACGAATAGAAAAGACTAAGAAATTTGAAATATTCAGAATAAACTAGTCTCATGAAGACCTTTTTCTGTGTGAAATCGGCCAGAACCGCAAAGTCTTTTCAAACTATCTACAATATATTATGATCCATTTATTTTACATAGTGTTTTGCTTGAAAAAGCATGGACACGTGGAAAGATTCCATCGTCAGTCCATTGCCTCGTTTGTATTTTTGAACTGAATAACTTCATATTTTTTTTTTTTTTATAATAATGAATCGTTTGTTGGACTTCCTCTATTGTTCATGATAATGAATGAATGACATGCAGGATGCAATAAATATCTAAAGCCTATAATTTCTTAACTTTATATTTTTAGAAATCAAATTTCAAATTATACGAAAAATATGTTCTTAATAAATCTCAATCAGATCGTGTTTGGGAACAATTTTGTTCTGGACATTCATTTTTTACAGTACATTTATAAACAAACTTTTTCATTTTTTTTATTTCATTAAAAAATCATATAAAATAATTTAGAAAATTCAACAATCACTTGGTCATCGTCTTCCATTAGATTCATATTTATTAAAACCAATTCAACGAATAGCACAATATCAACTTTTACTTAAAGTAAATTTTTATTAAAAATATTTCATTTATTTAATATTTCTTTATTAAAAGGAAATGATTAAATATACACGTGATGAACAAGAACGTTTACATTTACAAGAAGCTCTTCGTGTTATGCTTAATATATTATGTAATTTAAATGATGTTATGCATTCAACACAAATTGTTGGTTATTCTGTATGTAGTAACAACAAGAAAAAAAAAACAATCATTACGATTTGTTGTTTTTTTATAATAATAAATATTTATTTGTGTAGGACAATTTAAATACATTAGGTCGAGTACGTTTACGTGGTGAAAATTGTTTAATATCTAAAGAAAAACGTCGTGGAACAGTTTATACACGAACAAAAACAAGTACAAGAGATATATTTTTATTTGAAAAAGATATATTATTATGTAAGAAAAAAGATGAAGGAAATGGAAAATCTATTCAATATCAATATAAAGAAATTATTAAAGTAAAAATAAAAAGCTTTTTATTCTTTTTCTTTTTCTTCTTCTAAAGTTTCGTTTAGATTGTTGATATTGCTGTATGTACACATCCAAAAAATGATCGAAATAAATTTGAACTTGTACTCAAAGATTGGTCATATATTATTCAAGTATGTTATTGATTTTTTAAAAAAGGTGGAGTTTTTTTTTGTATGTCAAATATGTTTGATTTAGCTTCCAAATATATCTTCAAATGGTGAAAAAGCTGAAGAAATGAGTTTACATTGGATTGATACTATTAAAAGTTGTGTTACACAACAAGCAGAACAACGTCGAGGTTTGTTTAAGAATGATTTTTTAAATCAAAATTGCTTTTATTATTTTCACTGTAGAGTCTTCGCGAGTACTAGTAGAAGGTTATACTTGAGAGTTACTAATATTTCAATATTACAGAAAACTTTTAAAGAAATGACTTATTAAAAATAACAACAAAATGTTTCTAAAGGAAGTCACGTACGAATAATGATGAAATAAAAATCAATTATAGAATTTGCAGAAGTTCAACAATGAGGGAATAGAAACTGAATGAAAGTTCGACATTTAAGTACACAGTTATAGCTGGTCTAGTTATTTAATAGATAATGAATTTGTATACATGACAAAAGTTTCTTGTATTGTTTAGATGTCTTCGTTTGGAGACTAATTATTTCTATCAAAAACTTGATTCTCATCAACTGTTTATATCATATTCATTAACTTCAATGCCCATTCACTATCGTATATATTTAAAATAAAGTGTGAAATCCTTCGTTCTCTCAGTTATATTGTACACAAACAAAAGTACTAGTATTTCCAAACTGATAGGAAATATTCTGAATATTTGACGTTTCTCGAGCGCCTGGAATTCCACTAATTGGCGAAACTTTGAAGTCCATTTGTAGAACGCTTTCTAACTTTCAAAATTTCTCCGAAATTTTTCAATATTTTTTGATAACGATTGAATTTCAAGTCTAAAGGATGATACTATTTTATTCATTAATTTTTACATTTTAGATTGGTTAAGAGTAGACTATGGATGATAAATCCGAAGATTCAAATTTGAGCATAAATGTGATTGAAGGAGAACAAAAAATTATATTAGCAACAATTTCTATACCGATAGGAACAACATCAGCTGCTTCTTTATGAAAGAAAGGAGAAGGGCGTTTTCTAGTTAACTTAGAAAGAATAATTTGGTTACATGAAATGAAGAGTGATTCTACTCAAGTTCGGTGGCCATTATTATGGCAGAATAGCTTTAAGAAAATACATGTAAATAGTAACTTTCATGAAACATATATAAAATTATTTGCATCGATTGCTTTGCCTATATATTATGTTTTTCAAAAATGCATAATTAACTTCTTAATAGCTTTATTTGAAAAATTTTACGGCCATTGCTAAGTTTCTATCGCATGCTAGAACAAAATCGAGAGCTATTGCTTATTATATCCTTGATCTATAATTTACACATAAGACAGTCAATGAAGTGTTTGAAGAACATTTTTATTTCACATTATTCGATGCTTCAAATAAAATAAATCTTTCATTTGTCAGTGTACTCATTGGTGTAGGTAAAGAGAAGAACATTACCCACACCCACACTCTCATGTATTAAAACGATATTTAGTCGCATGAATCATTTATAGTAGGATTATTACAACCGAATGAATATTGAATTAGTTGCAGCTGAGTTATAAATTAAAAAGAATGCTAATATTCTTTGTGTCTATTTTTATAGATTTATTTTTGTCTTAACAATATTTATTAGAAGTAATAACAGAAATAGAAAAATATGATGAAAAGAACTGTATTTTTGATAAATGACGATTGAGTTTAACTTTTTAGTATGAGAGTTTTGAATTATACATGTATATTGATGCTCTATTTTGTTTTTCTTTCTTCGTTTACGTATCTAAATGTTAGATGATTGCTTTCCTAATTTATGAAAGATAAATTTCGATTGTCAGCTCTTTAATCTGGCATCACTGATAAGTACCGGAAAATTTCCCAGACGTCGAATGCATTTAATCGAACTGGCTTACAAAGGAACATATCCAGCTGTCGGACACTGTTCGAGTTAATATTATGGTTACAAATAGATCTCAATGAGACTCAGAAAACTTTCAAAGAAATTTAGATCCATGTTCTAATGATGAAGAGTTATGATCGTGTTAATGAAATTTTTTTACTGATAGTAAAACATTTCGGGCGTATCGAAAAGAAAGTGACTTGAGCTAAAGTCTTGTTTATAGGTAGATTTAATTTTTATCAAATAATTCTGAAAATTTAGAAAAAAACGGACACGTTTTTCTTGATATAATGCATTTCCAAAATAGAACAGCGATGTATCATAGGAGAACACATTAATCCAGTCTATTTAAATATGTCAATAAAGATATTTTCGTTTTTGTTGAAATTTTCAGAACTATCTAATAACTATGAAATCTGTCTATAGGCAAAATTTCACTTTATAACTCTTCGTTAGTAGATTACGAACGGAATTCTTTTAATACTCTCTTGAATCTCATCAAGATTTAGTCATAACTATAATATAAAATTGAATGGCATCCGATAATGGATGTGTTTTCTTGGTCGACTTTCATATAAAAGTTGTGCATATGCTGAATTCTATTCCATGGAGTATTACTTGAGTATTCAATTATATAGTAGATATAAATTCTACAAATTCTAATAAAACCTCAATGTTATCTTTAATTACTTTAGGATATTAATTAGATGTTTTAGTAATTTTATTTATAGTTTAAATTCGATTATCGATTTAAAATATATAAATTTTTATTTTATGTAGCTGAAATGAAACAACGAAGTGCTTCATTAGATCATTCAGCGCATGCTTATCGTCGACATATGCAACATCGTGCAACTGTTACTATTCGATCTCCGTATGTTAATTTCTGTTCATCTAAAACTTCGATCTATTCTAAGGTGTGTTCTTTTGTTTTTAGAGAATTTGACAATGATGATGAAGAATCTACTTTAACAACTCCATTAATCGATTTAGGCAATGCTATTGTTAAAAGAAATTCTAAAATAGTATGTATTAAAAATAATTTATCTATAAATATAAAATTCTTTTTTTTAATTATATTTAGTCAATGAACAATAATATTGCGCGTTTATAGAATATAAAATTATTCTTAATAGTTATCTTCTTTCAGATACTATAGGCCAGGTATATTGAATAAATAATTTTCAAGAGAAATCAAATGAAATTTTATTATCTCGTTGTTTTTTTTTAATTTTAGTATTCAATGCATCTATAACATTTGTATCTGGCTTTATATAGCCCGGTGATCATATCTTTTTTTGTTTTACTTTTTAAAATGTATATAAATAAATAAGGGTGTGTGTTCTTTTTGACAGAAAATTTAAAGTTAAAATAAATTTGATTTGAAGAAAAATGATTAATATTTTCTTTTTCTTTTATTGTTATGATTAATTTTTTTAACGTTGATGAAGTGATAAATATGAAGTTTAACCCACTCGTGATCAAAGAAGAGTATACGATTGTTGGTAGTGCTTATTTATTGTTTACATCATAAATATTTGTTGTGGGAGTGGTTTAATATGAAAATAAAACACATTAAAATTACTTTTTGACATAAATTTTATATGATAGACAATCATGATAAGGTGGTCTGACCATTCTAAAAAAAAAGAAAATACTGAATTGGTCTACGATTATGTGAACAAAATAAAACAATTAATCAATTGATTGTCCATTGATTTACTTGTTTCGAATATCAATGGTATTGTTCAATAATGAGCCGCCATAGCTGAATAGCTATGTTGTTCAATACGTATCCAAAATGTACTGTGCACAAATCTTAGTATGAACAGCCATGGAATGATCGTGGACAAGCCACTAACGACTATTTGTCTTGGATTACTTGTCCAATCGTATGATGACTACGTTGTGATATACACATATTCTTGTGGTCAATTAGTGTGTATGAAAAGCTCAAACAGTTGAGCGCAAGCATTCTGTGTCAGGTCGATCTTCTAGTTAGAGATAGAACTAGTCATAGTTGTAGGGAATATGTCAGGTTATTGAATCTGTCGCTAGCCAGTACCCTATACTACAGAGTAGCTAGAAAAACAAAAGTATTTTTCTGTCTTTCGTGTATTATATATCTAGATTAAAATTATTCTATTGATCTAATCAACTATTTGTTGATGATTTAGTGTATTAATATTGAATGAGAAAAATTTTTAACGCATGCTGTTAGGTTCATTTTCATGACTCAACATAGGTATGGAAGATTGTCATTCATAGAATTTGTGCTAGTGCTTTAATATTATTCATTCACATGATTACAGAAACTCGCTCCCAAGTCTCGGTTTTCGATCTCTCGCTTTTTTAATAATTAATTAGACAAAATTAAGTTCGATACGACAGCTAACTCAATCATTTAGCATTCGCTGTGACGTGAAGATAATTAGCTTAATCGTTGATGGCACAGAAATAGTAGACAACCAAAGGATTGTAACTCTAGAATCTGGCACAAGAGTTAGCATGAACTCACCCATATACTTATGTAAATATTTAGCTATTAAAAATCATTAATTTAATAATTTGTTTTTGAAAATAATAGAAAAATTTTGTTAACTGTTTCTTATTTACTGTTGATATTTTTAAATAAGATAGATTATTGAAACAAGCATCTTTTTTTGCTGTTCATGATATCGAGAAAATTTTGTTTTCTTTTCTTGTTTTATTAATATATGCTGATTAAATGACGATATCGAAGAGAGAATTTAATAATTTTTCCTTTTTATATTTAATTTTCATCTTTAAAACACAAAATCACCGTTGAAGTTTTATCGACATGTACAGAGACAAGTATCTCTTACATTTTATAATTAGAATATCGTTCTTTTAACACTTCTAAGTTATTAAAAATTCACAAAGAAAAACTTTTTTTTTGATTCTTTATGTTATTTTTATGGATGAAATTTACTAAAAAATGTTTGCAGAACTTTTGACTGACAACAAATGATTCTTGTTTTGTCAAAAAATTAAGACAGAAATTTTCGATAATATCATCCATGCAACTGATTTCATTCAATAATTTAATAAGGAAGAAAACATTTTCAATATTAATTCTTGTCAAAATTTTTTCTACACTTAAACTATATATGCAAAATTCATTGCTCATTAATTTTATCTATCATAAAGATCATATTAAACACGACAAATCGTATATGTTTTAAAATCGTATTCATTTTACTTGTCAAACTTGAAGTATCATTTCGGGCTCTTATTTTTCTCTATTTTTGCATAAAAGAAATTTAAAATAGCACATAATCTTATAATAACGTCAGAGATTTAGTGTCTGATTAATTTTATTGAAAAGCAACTATATCGAAATATATAACGAAGTCAATTTTGCAGTTTTCAATTTGCAATTTTTCGCTTTCATAATAAGATAGAAATTCTGCATTACTAATTTATAAACTGTAAAAAAAAATATTAATCATTGGTAAGTGAGCAATATTCTTTTCCGTTTCATTAATTAAAAGCACTTAGATTTTGGCTTGATCTCTGGTTACTAAAGAATGCTCAGAATTATATTTGTAGCATTGAAAACCTTGCTATATCTTGTGCATAGGTGAAATTATTATTCTAATATTGATTTACTTTCAGATCATGCATGTCGAAGAATCATATAAATGAGTTTGTTTTTCAATCTTGTACACTAATGTATTGATAATAATCTGTTTGAAGTGGAAAACAATAGAGACAAAAAGAATAGACTAGACACTGACATTGCCTCAAAGAAAAAAAACAATAACGTAATTTAATATGTGTGAAATAGACTTGTAAGCTCAATTATTTTCAAACCCACTAGGACATGAATGCATTCAAATTACGGTGACCTTGTCTATGAAAATATGTGATGTAAAATTCGACAATTGTTAGATAATGATTTCATCTATCAACAAAATCACTGAAGATTGTATACGTGTAAATAACTATTTGTCTGATCCAAATAGACAAACAAAACTTTATACACATTTGAACATCAAATCATCTTCATGAAAATGTTAAGACTATTATTGTAAGATCCTATCGATAACAATTCACAATATGATAACGTTAAAGCCTACAGCCTTTTAGCTAATGATAGAAGAAAAAATATTGCTCATCTACCAACATCTCATCTTATTATTTCCAGCATTGGCAAGTTGACTCCGCCATATTTTCTATTATACAATCATGATATTGAGCTGATGTTTTGGATGCATGCGTATGATAATAAACTCTGGTTGCAAGCACTAACTCATTCTCTATTGATTCACACTTACTGAAGCTATGATACATACATGTTCTTCTTCTTGTGCTCATCTTATGTCTATCATATTGACACAAATATTCTCGTTCAATCCCTCATTCGAAAGTTCAATGTCATAACTATATCTAGTTTGAATTTTATTAGGAATCACTTAAAATTGATGGAGAGATTGTCTTTCCATTAAGAATGTCTGTTGAACATCAAATACTGATTCAATTAGTACGACAGACCTTTTCTACGATAACTCTGATCGATTCATTTAAAAATTTTAGCAGAAATTTCTAATGAGACGATGAATCTATGGTAGGGATTTTAGAACCACAGCACTAAACGAAATCAAATTAGGACTACAACATCGATTTGCTATCTCAGGGTATATTAACTAGCTAGATGCTGGTGATATGTCATAGGTTCTGGTCATAATAAAGTGACATGTAAGACTGCTTTTTTTACGATGAAAAGACAACAATATAACTTGTGAAATAACAGAATAACAAACGAATGCTTTTTAAAGGAATATTTTCCTTGAATATGTTCTCTATAAGAAGGAGGCAATGTTTGAATTGTACATTCAGTACACACGAATTGATGGAGAGTGGATTTGACCTTGCGGATAGGATTTATTGTCGTACGCATGCATCCAAAATATTAACTCAATATCATAACGAATAGCTGCGCACTAGGAGGTGGTTGCAATTGCTTTTGCCTCCAAGTGTATTTGCTTTTCAATAAGACTTATTCGATAACTGTGAAAAAAACTTATTATCAACAATTTAATATATGCTGCATACACCATAATCTTTTTTTTGTAAAAGAACATAAATAACGATTTCTTTTTCAATAATAATATACCTTTTCTTAATGAAAGTTTTCACCAATGTCTTTGTGTTTTTTTCTCAAGTTAGACCTTTTTTTGATGAATCAATGCCTTGGTACTTTTTCTTGTGTTTTGACAACAAGTTAATGCTGATGTTGTGTACATATATATTGCTTTTGTTTAAAATCAGATTTCATCATACAATAAATATTGATTTAGCATACTTTAAAGCCTGATGAAATTTTCAGTTCAATCATAATTTATTATTTGGTATATGTAGATTAAATTAGTGTCAGTTTTTTTTATTAATATCTAATATCAACTATGATGAACAAAAAAACAATGATGATACCAAGAAAAATTGAATGCAAATCTACCTTGAAATTAAATGAAATTATAGCGTTTCCTTTAAAGTTCTGCATCATATTTATGTATACTTCAAAATCTACAGTCGAGTATTTGCAAGAGAAATTTGTCAAAATAAAAGCTGTCTATCAATTTTCGTTATTTGAAAAAAAAGTTACACTGATTTATTCAAAATTATCTTTAGAACAAGGAAGAATATCCTTGTTTTTTTTAGCTGTTTTGCGACAGAGTCAAATGCCCGATATTTTCCCTATAAATATGACTGGCTGTATCTCTGAAGAAAATGTCAGTTTGACGCAGAGTTTTTGTACTCACTAACTTGAGCTTTTCATAGTCGTTAACTAGCTACAAGAACAACCGTATGTTACAACTTCGTCAATATACTTTTGAATAAGTGATCAAAAACAAATAGTCATCAATGACTTGTCTAGAGTCATTTAGCCGTGATGGCAAATTATATTTGGCATCTGATACACAATGATTTGTGTAAAGGACGTAAAATAAGTTTTGATTTACTTAAACGATTTTCTTTTTGTTTTTTACATAAGTCAATACTAGCAGAGGCTAATATTCACAACAATTGTACTAAATATCTAAATATATTCTAGACGAGAATTTCAATTTTATACGTATTTTTCTTACAGAGAAATAGTAACGACCAAACTGTCAATATTGAAATTGTTTTTTGAATCAATGAGTAGGTAGAAAATATATAATTAGTTGTACAATCACACGCACACCATAAATAACTTTCATATTACTTCATACGACTCTTCCATTTGTATCATTTACCTACATCATGATGACTCGTTAACTAATTACGCGAACTGTTCTTTTCTCCTCTAGTCATACTGACACATAGAAAAAAGAAAACGTATGTATGAATAATATGAAAAACAAAAACTGTTCTCACAAAGGAACATTTTCAACTGATAAATCGCTTTTCTATTTGAAATCAGTGCATAAGGTTGAGTCCAATGAGATTTGAAGAAGTTAACAAGGATAAGTATTCTTAGATTATTTGCCCAGAGTTATAGACGTCTTTCTAGAATTGTAACTTCTAACATGATATATACCAACAAATTCAATGAGAATATTTCGATCTGAGACTTTTCCTTCTGACAAGTCTATTTTTTAGTGTGAATGTTCGAAAAAATTCAACTCAAAAGACAATTTTCTTTTATCTAGAAGAAAATATTCTTTTGAACTGAAAGTTTCAAGACATTTTATTCACAAATAGACTTGTCTATTCGCAAAATTATTCGATCAATTGGTATCTATCATAGCCGAATCAGTTTATAATATTTTTATTTCAATCAAATGAAACTAACTCACTAGGAGTTTTGAATGTTATAAATTACATCCAACAACCCGTACTTATAGTCTAATAAATACTTCGCAAGATAAGCAAAGTTTCAACTTATTGTAGTATATAATACAGTACATATATACAGAGTTATATAAGATTTTTTATTAGTTCTATTTTCAAGAAATTTGATTTGTGAGAGAATTCCTTCCAGCTATACCGTTTATGTAACATTACTAATAAAACATCAAAGATATTACTACAAGTAATTTAAAAAGCTACTATGACTTTTCTATTATTTGCATTTCTCTAACAATAATACATAACAAAATGACATTTTAGCATAGAGTAAATCGAAATGTTTAGTATATATATACAGTAAATATCAATATCTGATAATATACATGCATGTAATAAACAAATCTTTGTTTTAAAGAATTAGAATTTGTTTCAGATTCTCTATTTTTGAAACCACATTTAACTTTAAAACAGTCATTTTCCGTCCTTTATATATACGTGTAACATATTTCAATCAAGTAACTGAACTAATATCGATCACTCCGTGCCTTTGAAAAGAACGAGAATTGGTTATCAGTTCTTTTTGTATGAGTTGTTTTTATTAAATATCTTAATTGATCTCTTCTGAGTCATATACTCGAATTGCACATGTGTGCTAAACTACAGTTACCGGAAACATAGATCGAGATGAAAAAAATTAAGTGTCGAATTATCTAGATCATGCGAGAAACACTGATCGATGAAATTAGTTCTTGAAAAACAAATCTCCAATGCAATACCTCTAGTAAATTCTTCTGATTCATATAACTGGAAGTTATCAAACGTCTAATCACGTAGAAAAGCAATATTTATGTATTTTGAATGATATAAATAGAAAGACTAATTAATTACTTTACTATTTTTAATAGTCTTCATGCAAAATAGAATATTATTAAAGAATAAAAATTTTGAAAACGAATACAAAATATAAGTTGAATTTTATGTTGACAAACAAAGTCAACTCAACATTGAAAGTTAATACGAATGCTTTCAAACAAGAAACAAAACATTATATGTTTTATATGTTTTATGTGTTATCTCTAAACTTTGCTATATCTTATCAAATAATGTTTAGAAACAAAAAATAATCAATAGGAAGAATAAAAAAGAAATTCTACATAATTATGCTGCATGAATGAAAAGATTTCATTATAAACAGAGTTTTATCTAATAGAGTCAATAATCAGAAAAAATACAAAACTTTGATTTAATATGTAGCACATATTATTTTAGTAGTAAGTAAATACTTTCATACAACACAGCTAATGATTAATTTTTTTTTCTTTGTATTTTATTTTCTTCTAATTTTATGTAATATGTCTTTAGTAGTAAGTTATTATTTTACAGATGCACTTAATGTAATATTTATTATCAGTTATAAACAGTATATTTAAATCAATGATATTAGAGAGACAAATTCGAATAATGATGATGACCATACAGAAAGAAAAAACGTGAAAAAACTTACAATTTAAAGAATGTGCCATTTTAAATTATGATAAGACTATAAATATGAATATGTGTACCTGTATATGTAGTTCTTTTTCTCGTATTCGATGTTGTATTTTTTTTTATAGAAAGGGAAAAGACAAAGTACGTAAAACGTATGAAAGTTATTTTTTCCGTTCTTCCAATATTTGTTGGTGTTTACTAGTAAAAATCGGTTTCTTATTCTTTGTAAATAGTAGTACAACTCTTTTAATGTTTTGTTCTTTTTTTCATGAAAAAAACTCTTTCTTAATATAGAAACTTTTAATGCATTTTGATCGAGAACGACAAAATCACATAAAAGTTTAAACGAACATCAGTAATGTAATTTTCACGTTCGTTTTTTTTTTGACCTTTTATTTATTTTGAAAATTTCATTTGTTATGAACGCATAAAGTATGTATCAAAATGAAACACAAAAAATATTTATTGAATAAAAAGATCGTAATAATAGAAATAAATAGTCATTAGTATTCTTCTGACTAAAGAATATATTATTATTAGAATACATTGTCTTAGTTAATAATGTCATGCTTTTTATACATGAAAGAAACATAAAGGTAAAAAGTAAGTCATGCAAGGCTAAACTAATGTTCATAGATAAGATATCACGAACCTCATTTAATTGTTATGTTATTTTTTATATTACAGAAAAACACTATTCATAAGTTGGATTCTTGTATAAGGTACTATTTGAAAAACTTTTAAAATTATTGACAAAAATAATCTAAGTAGAATTTAAATCTAAACAACTGGCAACATAACAAACTTTTTCCATTAGTTAAATAAGATTGTCATCTGTAATTTTTTTTAAATTAACCAAACAAATAGAAATGTGATATTCTAAAAAAAGACTTTAACTCTTACTTATAAAAAGTTCAATGTATTTAACTTGAAGTTATTTTTAATTAAAAAAAATGTATTCATGAGTAATTAATTAATCTAATACAGCATACATAGAGAAAAAAAATCAATGAAATATGCCCGTTCTTTTAGTATCGAAACATTCGATTTCTATTGAATTGTTGACGTCTAATGGTGTCATTTTCATCTGAGATAAGTCAATTAACTATAATGAATTCATCAAATTATATCAATAATCAGGAGTATACCTTATAAGGAACTGTGATGCTTAATTCTCTGCTTTGGAAAATTGTCCACGCAGTTCTCTCTTTTTCTGAGACACAATCAATCTGCACTCCCTTCCTTCAGGCCTAAGTTACACCTTTGTCGATTGCAATACACAAATCGTATAATTGACGTCTTTTTTTTCTCAAAATAAACTGTGAAATATATTATTCTCTATTTAAATATTTTCTTGAAGATGTTTATCAATAAAATATAATTTCACCAAAATTTTCGATCTATGTCACAATATAAAGAAAATTAATATTACTTCTTTGATCATTACATATTTTCATCAATGCATATCCTGTAAACAACATCTTGAGTTAACAACTTTAGTTTTTTTTTTTGTTTTGAGTATAATTAAGATGTCTACTCTGATATAAAGAACGAAAGTCACTTATATAATATGAGAGGATACCTTGTATAAATAGAGTTTTGAAAAGTCAAAAGTCCGAAAAACGTAAATTATTTTTCTATCTCTTCTACTGATAAGATACGAGAAGGACCTGGTACACTATGTACTTTCTTTTAAAATTAGTCTAGTACATTGTTGAACTATTCAATTCATTTCCTTTTTCTGTAATTAATATCTATTAGAAGTGACGAATTTCTTGTATTTTCTAAACTAGAATAACTAATTTATTTTGATTTTTGTATCCTCATAGGAAATAAATTAAGTCTGATAGTATACTCTATAAATTTTCCATGATACATCTAGTTCGTATGACATCAGAAAATCGTTCAGAGATAAACCGTAAATATTACAATTTTCAAAGACTGAGGTTAAAGAAGAAATCTGTCTTCTCTAATAAACTTTATTTATTATCGAGAAAATTTCTTTTTAATTTCATATTGATATACAGAAACAAATAATATCAAATCAATGAATAGCACGGTTCCTTATCGTCATCGACGTAAAACAATATCATGTAATCGTGAATGTATGGTATGTGGTTCAAAATCAATTGGTATTAATTTTGGTGCATCAACATGTGCTCCATGTAAAGGTATAAAAATATTTAGCGAATTTTCTTAGTTTATTTTTCTGTAATATAATTTTTATTTATTTTAAACAAAAGCATTTTTTCGTCGTAATGCCCGACGAAAAGAAGTGAAAAAACAATTTTTCTTTCTTATTAATCAAAACTAATAATAATTATTTAGGTTATCAATTTACCTTGTCATCATTATGATATAAATTTATTGAAGAAAAAAAATATTAATATTAATGAAAGAACAATTCGTTATTTACAAATTCGTCGATGTTCATCATGCCGTTTACGTCGTTGCTTTGAAGTAGGTATGAAAGAAGAATTAATACGAACACATGAAGAAAATGAACAACATAAAAGACTTGTTGATATTAATCGACAACGAAGAGAATCGATAAGACAACAACAACAACAAGAAAAACAATTATCCATTGCTCAGGTATTTAAATCTTTTTCTCCTGAGATAATAAAAGAAAGTATGATGTCTCGTATTAATACCAAGAGCTACAAAAAATTACTAGAATAAGTCTTATATTTGAAATAAAAATAAAACAAAAAAAGATATAAATCAAAAGTACTTTTTTATTTTAGATGTAATTCTTCACATGACAAGTATTAAAAAAAAAGATATGTATTTAACTGTATATTAAAGTAAATGAATAGATATATAAGTTTTATAATAAATACTACGAAAAATGTTAAACTTCTTTGATTTAACTTCAATGATTCTTTATCATTGACAAAGACAATGGTTTGTTGTTGTTATCTATCCTTTTGAGAAATGAGCCAGCGGTTTCTATAAAATTTGGTTATGTTTTAATTTTATCTTTCTTTAGTAGAGCTGCTGGAATGTTTCGATGAGATATTGATCATAATGTAGACTATGCGTAATAGATAGTGAGATTGCAAAAGAATTTCGTATACTTCTAATATTAGACTTAATAATTATTATATAAATCAAGTTTACAAAACCTTCTATTCATATTGTATATATGAAGTGTTAGAGGAAGTTTATCTATATAATTTTTCTTGTTAATTTAGATATTCATATTAAGAAAAACATTTTCATATCATTATAATTTATAAATAGAAAATATTAATTAAACAGTGATGTTAAGATGAAACTAACGAACAGAAGTACTTCAATTGATCTAGATCGTTTGACTTCATCTTTTGTAGATAAGTATATGTCAATGAGCCTAAAAGAGCCCTACAAGCCCTCATACTTAAAACTTTCTTTTTTTCGAGATATAGTTACCATAATGGCAAAAAATAGTGCCGCTTCTTTTGAACGATTCAACTGCTAAATCTGTAACTTGATTGAATTATAAAATTTCAAAGCTGTAATATTGAAGAACTTAGTCTTAAATAGTTTTCTCAAGGCATCAAAATACTAAAAACAAAATAAATAATTGATTATGCGAAAGATGAAGAAATAGCACCTGAATAATATTGATAGTCTTTGCAAAAGTGACGAAAGTATAACATATTTCAACAACATAAATACCAGATTAAATTCAGATAAGTCTCTCGGTATCTATTTGTATACTATCTGTATTAAATACGTTTATGAAAGAGATATGCCGCTATTTAAAAATAAATGAGTCATGATAAACTAAGAGTATTATTTGGAGTTTGCGTGTGAGAGTGTATGTGAATGTCCTTCTTCTCTGTTCTACATTCACACCTTGATCGGATTGAGTTTCAAAAATTTGAACCATCCCGAACAATGATATGTGACATTTTTACTTATCAATTTTTGACTTTCAATATTTTTCTTTTCAATCAACGTAGGCTTTACTTATATGGTTAAAATAATTTGAAACAAATCTAGAAAAAGAATGCAGAATATTTTTAGTCATACTAAGAACAAAACATGAAATTGTAAGTTCGTATTAATTTCGATTTCTTTTCTCGTAAATTTTAAAATGTAACAGGTTTATTTAATTTCATATTGCACATTTGTTATTAGACGTCATCATATAAACTAACAACTTTCTTTATTCGAGTTTGATGGAAAACATCGAAAACAGTAATGTAGACAATCAAAATAGCAAAAGGGATAACGTCAAATCCAGAAACAACTTGGCAGGAGAATATTAAAAATGAAATTTTTCTGATTCTGACATGAGAGTGAGACATTTCATTTAAAAATATAGAAAAAAAAACAAGAGTACTATTAAAATGATAAACAAATGTTTATCTTTTGTTATCCATCTACTAATAAAGTTAAATTCCGTTAGCGATTGTTTCGAATTTCTCAATTTGATATTGTAGGCTTTCTATTGCATTCTTTCGAAATTTTCGTCTTTAACATTTTTCTTTTCGATGTTTTCTATCAATTCTCTTGATATTAATTCTATGTTTCGCTAGAGACAGAAAATTTCTACAATATAAGAATATTTCACTTCTTCTTAGTCGAAATTATTAGAATAGTTTTATTCTACTGTCATATTTATAATCTTCTTGAATTTTTTATTATTATTTTTCTTCATAGCATATGGTGAATAATAATGATTTAGTAAGTAGAATTGATTGGCGTCATTTATCAAATATTGTATATGCTTATGATATATGTTGTGTTAAAACTTATCTTGAACAACGTATAAATATGTTTGCTGATAATATATCACAAGAAGAACAACTAATGAAAAATTATGGAATGCTACCAATGATTTTAACCATTTCGCTTACTTCATTTCTTAGATCATTACCTGCTTTTCAATCTCTTTCAAGAAGTAATCAAGCATTTTTATGTAAAAATAATATTCGCCGATTGATATTTGTTAATCTTCATGAACTCAATCAATCATGTTTTTCTGAACCATGGCAGGTAAAAAGTACATAAATATAGATAGATTGATATTTGAATATTAAAAAAAAAATTATCCTTTTTTTCTAGGTAGCCGCCTACATATCTATTGCGAAATTTATTTGTGGTTCTGAACTATATAAACAATTTGCTCATATTGAAAAATTAGCTGAAAAATTAATGATAGCTGATCCAATAATAACACGTCTCTGGATTATTGTATTATTTTTTTCTACACCTCTTTTTTCTTATTATGCTCCGAAATCAACAATAATAAGAGTAAAGAACAATTTATCTTTTATTACTATTCAAAACACTTATGTCAGTCTTTTGTGGAAATATTTATTATATCGTCATGGTCCTATGGAATCAATTCGAATTTTTTCTAATCTTATTCAAATTTTTTTAAATATGTTACGTGTTGGAATTGATATTCATACGAGATTACGTATGGAAAAACATTTAGTATCAATAGATGAAACACTCGATGAATTGGTGCAACTTGATATTAAGACTGATTCATAGAAAAAAAAACAGAAATTCGTATAAAAACTCTATCGCAATTGTTATATCTATATGAAATCAAAAACTAATATTTATTATTATTTATATATTTTTCTCATATGTATTTTTTTTGATTTTATAGATATGTTTTTTGTTTCTTACATAAACAATTGAAAAAATATACATGCAAAATCAAAATGTTAAATTTGTGTTACAAGAATAAAACTTAAAAAACGTTAATATAATAGACTTTATCTAAAAAAAAATGTTCTCAAAAGTCTGTATCGTATAGTACTTAGATCTGACCAAAAGTTCTGACATCGTTAAATATAAGTATAAAGATGCAGAGATATTGTCAATTTTATTTTATCAAATTTTCACAATAGCTCTTATGGTTATTTATAGCAAGTGCAATCCTTTCTAGTAATTAATTCAAAGTGTTTTAAACTCTTTTTCGAGAAAATTTGTAGCTACCTTGGAAACCGCATGAACACATCATATTTCATTTACCTGGTCGGCTTCAAGAATTTCTCTTGAAGTTTAGCAAAGATTGTGTCAGTTGCATTCCAGTAATATGAATGATGAGATATGAATTTATTTTAGATAGTTTGGTAGCAAGTCATGTGATGCTAGCTGTAAGTCAAATGTTCTTGTTTTTATACATAGTGTAGATAATGACAAGACTATAGGACATAAGTATCATATTCAAGATTGTCTAAGACCTTTTGTTAATGAAATATGGAAGCAAACAGAGATATCACGGTCAAAATATAGAAAATTAGTTAACGATCATCGTTGACTTTATATTCATCCAATGTTACTAATTATTTGAAAGAAAAGGATATCAATATAATGTCACACCCATCGTATTCACCAGACCTAGTACTACATAATCTTTGGTTAAATAATTCTATCGATCACAGTTAAACTGATTAAATATGATGTGTTCATGAGGTTTCTAAGATAGCTAAAAAATTTCTTGAAAAAAAGAGTACCAAAAAGCTGTGAATTAATTACTCGAAAGGATTGAATTTGCTATAAATTATTCATAATAACTATCATGAAAATTTGATGAAATAAGTTTGAAAATATCTTCGTATTTTTATATTTTTATTTAGCCATGCTAGAACTTTTGGTTAGACCTAAGTATTACATAGATGAATTTCTGAAGCATAGATAATTTCCAGATGACTTTGACCCTGATGAAATAATAATTATCATTGGTTTTTAATAGGCTATTTATCAGTAATTATAGGATATGAAAAACAACTTTTTAAACGTTAGTATCTAATAATAGAATAAAATGACAGGTAACAGTGATGTTTGAGAAACATTTCCTGAGCAATTTTAATGAGAAAATGAACTTCTTCACACGGGTTTTTTTTTCACACGAATGCTTTGATTAGAATGTCATCTATTATTTTTCGAATGGTATCGCTAGTTTACAAGGATCGACGCAATTACAATCGTTTGTTGGACATTTCACCAGTGAATATTCATAATTTATGTAAAAGATTTAAGCTGCTTTGTTTTTACTGATTAGTGTCTAAGGAATTAAAAAAATAATTGGACAATAAATTATATTCTACTTTTTTTCTATTACACTAAAAGGGCAAAAAAAGCATCTTTTTACTCAAAATACACGAGACAGAAAAATAAAGTGCAAAAAACAGAACAAGAAAGAACATCGACCTGACAGAACACTAAAGTATGGGTAAATGTACTTATTATGACATGCTTTTTTTTCTCTGTTGATAACACAACACATATATATACTATTTTTCATCATTTTATTGACTGAAACTATCCCACTATAGCTTCACTGACAGGTAACAAATAACAAATTTTGAACTGAATAGAATCACAATCGATAAGATTGAATTAAAAATAGAAATCAAACATAGTTTTATAAATTACTAAAATATTATTCATTCTTTCTGTTATTTTTTTTTTTTCTCATAATATTCATGGCCAATAGAGAAATCATATTGTACATAATAGATATAAAGATTTAAATAATAGAAGACTAAAATTTATTCAAAGAAAATATCAATTTGTTGTATGATATTGTTTAGTTTAGTTTTAAAACAAATACAAATTATTAAGAGAATTTTACAATTTTTTTCTTATCTCAATATATTAATACAGATATCTAAGTAGATCTCATCTAGACTCGAAGTATGAACATGAATTTTTATCAATAATATAACGTACTTTAATATGCGCTAGATTTATATTTAATTTAGATTACTATGTCATGTCTCTTTTTTTAATGTTTTTAATGATTTTCTTTTTTATTTTTAGATGTCATTTATATGAGGAAGCTTTATGTGATAGAATTGTTGTAGACAAAAAAAACATTATCCTCTTGAATGATTTTATATCTAAATATTTCTATTTTTTTCTTCAACTTACAAATGAAAATCTTAGTTTTTTTTATTGCTTTTATAGTATTCACTCTTTGCTATTTATTCGCCATGAATATTGTATGTTCACAGAAATATGCAAAACAATAGAATATTTAATTTTTATGGCTCATCTATCGATTTTATGATTATTTTAGATGTTCATAGATGTGTAAACATAATTCAAGTCGGACAAATCTATAAGTGAAAACTAGTGGGTCAAAACGACTCGTTATTATCTGTGCATTAGTCATATGATATTATTAATAAAACACTTCTGGTAAGTTTTCATATAAAGTTATTACAATGCAAACAATGAAATTATCTCTTCAAATTAATTGAAAAAAATATTGCTAGAATCAAATGTCACACTCTTGTAGAATATTCAAGGCAAATTTTAACGCGTAAATAACAATCGAAATTTAAGATAAAGGATTATAGAGTAAACATAAAAGTATGTCATTCAATAGAGAACGAACTGACATAGAATAATAACGGATATATATTATGAATTAACTACTGTATGAAGTCAAGTTTTGAATTGTTATTCTACTTTACTAAAAAAACAATAACATTTTTTGAAAATTGTAATTATATAGAAAACATGAGCATAAATATGTCATCTTGTTGAACGCTTCTGCAGTCTTAAAAGAGTTTATATATTAAAATAAAAGTAAGCTTTAAGATAAAAAAAAAAACAGATTTATATTCTTCATTAATGAAAATTTTCTAGTTAGTTGAATTGGAAGACTAATTCGATTATTTTCTATTATCTATAGAAAGAATGTCAGTACAAACATCAAGAATACACCATCATTCTAAACATCAATATTTATTATCTCCACGTGAATGTTCTGTATGCGGTTCAAATGCAGTTGGTATTAATTTTGGTGCACTAACATGTGCTCCATGTAAAGGTATGTCCCTAATTTTTCAAATAATCTTATATTACAATCCTTTGAATAGCTTTTTTTCGTCGTAATGCTCGTCGAAAAGAAGTAAGAAAAATTTTTACAATATTTGTGTTCGTTTTAATTGAAATCATCAAATCTAGATACTTCAAATACCGTGTCAACTAGTAGAATCTGGTTCTTCAACATGCGACAATAAAAATCAATATAATCATAATAATTCAAATATTTGTTCTCAAGTACGTCATTGCACATCATGTCGTCTACGTCGTTGTTTTAATGTTGGTATGAAAACAGAGTTAGTGCGAACAGATGAAGAAAAACAAAGATATAACGAACTTGTTCAACTCAATCGCCAACGAAAACAAGATTTATTACAATTATCAGAAAATAAATGTCTTGAAATTGCTCGAGTATAAAAATCATTATTTTCTCCTATGAATCATATAAAATATTTTCATTTTTTGTTGTTTTAGCTTATTGTATCTAATGAAGGATTATTAAAAGAAACAGATTGGAAACTTTTATCAAATATAGTTTATGCTTATGATAATTATTGTTTAAAAAATTTTACACAAGCTCGCCGAAACATTTTCAATAATGAAACTCATTTGTTTGAACAACCTTTATCAAAAATTCATCATCATACAGCAATGCGTCTTAATAATATAACATCACTTGTATCTTTTCTTTTATCCATTCCAATAGTTCAATCACTTTCAACATCTGATCGTTATTATTTATGTAAACATAATATTCGTCCATTAATTTTTCCAAATCTACATGAAATTGAACAAACATGTTTTACTGAATCATGGCAGGTAAATATTAATTAGATTGACTTTTTGGTTTTATCTTTCTAATTACAAAAAAAAAAAATGAAATTTCTTTTTTATTGTAATTTTTTTCTTTAGGTAAATATTGATAATACAGCAGCAGAATATGTTTATGGTGAAGAATTATTTGCTGATTGTGTTCAAATAAAAAAAAAAGCTGCATCAATATTAATAACTGATCCAGTAGTAACACGTCTTTGGTTAATTATATTGTTTTTTTCTGCTCCTCTTCTTTGTTATTATGATCGTTCATTACCTGATTTATCAAATAAAAATCGATTAGATCTAAATAGAATTCAACATTTATTTGTTGATTTATTATGGAATTATTTATCTCATCGTCATGGATATTTTGATGCTGTTCGAATTTTTTCAAATATTATATGTATTTATTTACAAATGCAACGAATTTCTCGAGCAATCAATCATGAATTACGAACAAGAAATGATTTAATAGAAATGAATCAAGCACTTAATCGAGCAACAGCAATTGAAAGTGATATTTTAAGTAGTTAAAATGACAGACAGGACATATTTATGTTGTAATGTTGTAATGTATATTTTATATTAATACATGATTGTATTTGAAGGACGAGAGCGAGAGTCCTTCATTTTTGATGAAAGAACATGTATTATAGATTGATAATATACATTTATTTTAATAATGAAGATTTCAAAAAAAGAAATTATTCAAAGCCATTGTTACATTGATCTATCGAATATTCAACTTTACTAACAAAGACTATTTGCCTATATCATTAGTTTTTTCTTGGATTTTGAAAGTTTATTCCACTATGTCATTGTTTGCTTCAATGCAATGATACAAAACTTGCTTATGATAATCATAATAGTCTTTTCCTTTCTCTTCTATGAATGATTGATCATGATATATGTCATGTGAATAAACTTAGCATCATCTTACTATAGTTAGTCGCCTATCATGGCAGACATAAGTTTAGAGCCAATGAATTTTTAAGTTTTCTTCTCGATGATAATAATTAGCAAAAATCCTCTAACAAAATTGATAGACTCAAAAACTTCAGCGAAACTGTTTGAATGGTATGTTGCGAAAAACTAAGACCACCAACACTAGTTTTCTGACTTCTACTTGAAACTTTTGAAAAAAATTATATTTTGATGAGAGCAAATAATTCTAAGGAAGGTGAGGCGCCTTCGACCTCTTCATGATCTTCGTTCATCGAACTGCATTCTATTCACCGGAGGCTCCAAGACACCAAACATAACTAAAACATCAAAAGATCTAGACGAGTAGAAAAAAATGCTTCTTGGATCTACTGTAAATTGGACGCAGTTCGATGAAAGAAGGTCATGAAGAGGTCAGAGACATCTCATCTTGCTCAAAATCATTTGCTCTATCAAATATTTTTTTCTCTAAAGTTTTCAATGGAAACCAGAAAGTTGGTTTGGGGATCTTGATTTTCCGCAGGCCTTTCATCCAACCAGTTTTATTAAAGTCTTTGAGCCTACCAGTCGTGATAGAGAATCTTTCCAGCTACATAAATATTTTTTTCTCAGATCCTTGCTAACTATTATCATCGAGAGTAAAGCTTAAAAATTCAGCTGTTCTTAACTATTGCCCGTCGCTGTATTTGTTAGGGATCTCAATATATGCCATAAAAAATTTTCAACCGGTCTAAAAATATCGAACGTATGAAAATGCTTTTGGCACAATCTCTATTAATGACGGTAACCGATGTAAAAGGACGAGAGCCTTCTTATGGTGGCTAACGCCGAAGGTTAAATTTGGTTCATTGAAAAATGACATTCTTTATATAGGGGTTAATACGATCAAAATGCCAAAACGACAAACAAGATAGGAAAAAGTCTAAAAAGCGTGATGATAAGAAAATGAGAGATCTAAATGACAAGAAAAACTCCACATGTCATGCAGAAGAAGCTATACAAAGAAAAATCCATATGACATGAAAGGAAGGACAGGAAAAGATAAGAAAGAGAATATACTGTGTGAGAAGAATGTAGTAGGATGGCTCTTGGTCACTTAGTGACAGCCAAAAACTGTTGAATAATTTAATGTATGAATAGTTTTACAATTATTAAACTTTTCTTTTGAATTGGAAGAACATACTTATAAACAATGACTAAGGTTACTGGTTTTTGTTATCATTTTTATAAAAAGTTGAATATATTGGCACTTGTCTCAGATCCTGATATCAATAAAGAACTAACAAGAAAATTTTATATAAGGTTTAAAGAATGGTTTTATACTTGCGATTATATATTCATCTAAGTGGTGATTGCAAAGATCTTTTGAAATATAGAATTTTGAATTTTTGATTTAACAACAAACTATAGAACCAATAGTATTTATTTCTTGTGCGTTTGTAACCAACCGCCTTACGCTACTAACGAGAACAATTTTCGAAATTTTCTAATTAAATATGAAAAGTAAAGCGTTGTAAACTTTTATAATGGTATCAAAAGTGAAGTTTGGATTGATTGAAAATAACTAAGGTCAATAAAATATTGTGCAGTATTTAAAGAATTTAATTACTTCATGAAATTTCTATTTAAGACACTATTCTATGTTATTGTTGGACACCATTCGATTCCATTTTATGACTATTAGTAGGTCTTGGTGAGACTAAAACAAACTTTAAAAAAACAAAGATTCAAATCTATGACCTATTGATGAAGAGTTATGGATGCTTTAGTAAAATTTTTCCTGAAAGCAAGACGTTGCCATAAAGTCTAAAACCAAGAGTTTCGACCTGAGATTTGGTCTATAGAGATGTTTGACAGCCAGTAGATTGATCTAAAAGCTTCAGCAGAGACAAACATGTCTTTCTTAAAATATTCAATTTCTCGAAAAGCAATGGTTTACCATAGAAGGGCACAATAACCAAATCTACTTCGAAATTGAACATCTTCAGCAATACATGTTTGTTTTCTTTGGAATTTTTTAGGATAATCTAATGACTATCAAAAATATCTATATAACGCTTTTTTAATAGGCCATAGTTCTAAACCTGCTTCAGCTTGTCCTTGTGTCATGGATATCTATTTGTAGCCATCATATGAAGTCGAATAGCAATCGATAGTTGCATATACTTCCACTTTAGTTTTCCTTTGTGTTAGTTATATAATCTAAATTTTTCTAATTTTTAATCATAGAATCTTGATTTATTTGAATAAAATCGAAATAAAATTATGTTTATTTTATAAAATCTGACTAAAAAGCAACGATAATATGATTAATTATATTTATTATTTTTGATTTTGATCATCACCATCATCATCATCATTATTATTATTATCATCATCATCATCATCATCGCTTTCGTCTTCATCATCACCTATATTTTTCCAAAGTGATAAAATCACCTACAAAGAAAAAAAACATGACATAGGTTAATAAAAATTTAGTAATTTCTTATCGCTAAACCTTTTCAGCGAATCGTTTTCGTTCATCACCCGTTAATTGATCAGCTTCCTCTAAATAATAATTTCATTTAAATTTTAAATCTCATATTCATAGTTAATAATCGACAATTCTTTTCTTTTTCCAAGTTATGAAAGATTTTTTATATAGCAAATTATTTAATTGTTAATATTTTACTTACCTTTATATTTTTTCATTTGTTCAAATATATTTTCCATACCAAACTCATCAGTAACTATAACAATACAATAAAACAATTTATTGATATCAGTAACCTATCTGTCCTTTGTCTTGAATCAAGGTTCAAATGTTACTATTTTAAGAATTTTCATAGTCTGCTCTGCTAACATAATAAAAAAAGGTAGTAAGAAAGAAAGAAAAAAAGAACAATCGAACAAAAAAAAGAAAAAAAGCGAAGAGCTAAAGCACCTGATGTTTCGATTTCAATTTCCCTCTTACATCCACAAGAGAAAAAGGAAGAAGAAACACGAAATAAAAGACAAAATTTTGAGGTATGCTGTTATTGTTTCCTTTACTATTTGGCAGCGATGATGAGTTGAGAGAACACACAGACACACAACAGACAACATTTACCATGGTGGTTATTGGTCGTCAAAGAAGAATCAAATTGTTCGTTCTGCTCGTGTTGTTCTTCAGAATGATCCACATCATTACTATCATCAAAATTTAATTTATCTTTCAATTGTTTAGCTAAATTTCGATTAATTTCACGTCGATCTAATACAAAAAAAACAAAAAAAAGAAAAAATATTATTAAAAATTGATTTAGAAATGATATGAATGTAACATCGGATATTGATTTATCATCATTTTTGTTTCATTTTGATCATGATAAAAATCTTACATTATCAATTAATCAAGAATCAAGTGAAACTGAATTAATTAATAGTACAATAACAACAACAACTACAACAACAATAATTACAACATCAGTAAATACAATTCATCGTTTATTTAATGATACAAGAATTTTTTCTTCACATCGTCCAACAGCAACAACAAAATCATCAACTTTATTTAAAAAATATTTCTTTTTTAAAACACCATTTAATCGTATTATGCGTATTGTAGAATTATTTATATTAAGTTTAACATTACCATGTTATGCTATTGTTTTTATACTTTTTATTGAATTAACTGTACAACGTATTAGTTCAAATACAGCTATATCCGGTGGTGGATCACGTATTCGAACTCAGCGTCGTCGACAACGTATGCGTAGTCTTATATGGACATCAAATTATTTACTTGTTGATTTTCTTGGACTTTTATATGAACTTATCTATGTAATCATACATTTAACAGGTGATTTAGCACTTAGTTCATTAGTTGGCCGTTTTTATTGTCAATTACAAGTTTATCTTCCATTGTATTTAACTGTTCTTATGGCTTATAGTTTAACAGCAATATCTATATATCGTCGTGGTCATTTTGTTAATTTAAATAATGAAGCAACACGATCAACAAAACGAAGTATGTTATTAATTATTGCACTTTGGATTATGCCAATAATTACATCAATTATACCAGCATATTTATTAATTTATTTAAAAATTCTACAAATAAAACAACATGAAGCAACAAATGAATGTCAAATATCTTATACATATGGATCAACTGTTGTTGCAATCTATATGTGTTACAGACTTGGTATGAAACAGGAGAAAAAATTTTTTAAATATCAAAAATTAAAGTTTTCTTTTCTTAATGAAAACTAAGGTTGTATTGAAAATAGAAATCACCTTGAAGTAAATTTTAAAAAAAAAGTGAAATCATTTATTCTTTCGTTTTAATTTCTTAACTTATGACATAAGTTCATTTGTTTTGATTTGATCAATAGAGAATATTATGAAATTATTTTTTTTTTTTTACAATCAATCATATAATTTAAAACTGATGATTTGTGACGAAATAATGCACATCTATGAGTGATTTCACAGAAAAATACATTATAAATTTTTTTTTTCAATCTCAAGAATACATCGTAATGTTCAAAGAAACTTTTTATTTGCTATAAATAAATACTTAACATATTATTTTCTTTCTATTTAAGGCAATATATTTCTTCTTCCATTATCAATTTCATTTGCTTGTTATTTGACAATATGTATTGATTTAATACGTATGCAACGACGTTTTAGTCGAGCATTTCAACGTCATGTACATATTCGAAAAAATCTTATTCTTCAAATTTTATTTTTATTTCTTAATTTTGCTGTTTTTTGGTTACCAGCTGAAATAATAACACTTTATACTAAAAGTCGTCTTCTTAAAGATACTGTACAAGTAACAAAATCATTAAATATTTTACTTGATCCATTAATTATAACTGGTTTTGATACACGTTTTTCATCAGCAGCACAACATTTCTTATCCAAATGGCGTCTTGATGAATTTATGGGTTTTTTTAGTTCATATCGTTCAAATAATTTATCAAGTGCATCAATTCAACTGATGTCAACACGTCGAGGTACAAAAATGAAACGTTTAAAACAACCAAAATTAGAACATACTGTTCGAAAAACAACAACTCAACAACAAATGCTGCCATCAGTAACTTGGAATTTAATTGATGATAATGATATAACTATTGTAGAATCACCATCAAATCATATATCAGTTATAAATGAACAACGATCAAAACCTATTCTACAATCGACTATTCAAAGAAAACAACGACAACAACAAAGGAGAAGACGTCAACAAAAATCCGAATCAACTAAATCTCGACGTGAACAAATAATCAAACAGCAACGATCAAATCCAATACGAATTAAAAAAACTGATAATTATATAAAAACAAAAACAGAACATGTTTAAATAATTTTCTTTTACCTTTAAGATTCATATTTGGCCATTGATGAATATGAAGTGTTTGAATTAAACGTGGTATACCATAAACATCTCGATAGACTAAAAAGAAAATGAAAAAGAAAAACAAGAATCCCATGAAATATATTCTGTATAAAGTTTTTGTTCTTTTCTTTTTCTTTGTGTTTTTTTCTCTGTTTCTGTGTCTCTCTCTCTCTCTCTTTTCTGCTTACGATGACTATTTTCATCATCTTCATCATCTGTTTCTGATGTTGTAGTTTTTTCAAGTTCAAGCAATTCATATTCATGTTGTGTACACCATTGTTTTACATCCATTTTTGAAATTGCTATAGACAATAATCAATAAAAACAAAATATTAATCAAGAAAAATTCTTGTTTTTCAAAACTAACTATTTGATAAAGCATCCATATTTCGAGTAACAAGTAATTTTGTTTCACATTCATTAAGAACACTTAAAAATGGTAACCAACTATCAAGTTTTGTACGACTATTGATCTATATAGGACAAAAAAAATGGTTTATTTTGTTTTTTTTTATAAAACAATCAAATATCATACTTGTGAAGGATCAATAAGTAAAATAATAACTTGAGCTAAATTAGCAACTGATTCTTCAACAAGTATTTTAGTATTTATTGGACATAAATGAACATCAGCTGTATAATATTTTGTATCAATTGTCCATTCAATTCGATTATTATCACTGATTTTATTTTCACCAGTTAGACCTTGAACTACTTCATCGAGAAATATTTGATCAAGACCAACGATAACAATACATGGTTTCATGATTCCTTTTTTTTTTATATTAAAACTACAATGAACTATGAAAAACAAGATTAAAGTGAAGTAGTGACACTAATGACTGATGATGATGAGTCAAACTCAACGTCTGATTTGAATTTAGTTCAACTAATCGGAAAAGAACATGATCAAACATAAACAAGAGAGTCGCTCGTTACCATTGTTTATAAGAAGAACCATTGATGCAATCTTGCAATAAAAAAGAAAGAATAGTTGTTAAGTAGATCTGAACTTTGTTGCTTTAGATTGATAATTCAATAAATTCATCAATAATCGTTTTCTTATTTATCAAAATTTTAGCCATTATGAAAATGAAGATTTTATTAAGTAGAAATTTTCATGCATTAGAAATAAAAATGAAGTTAAATAAATCTACTGAAAAGAATCTATCTAAAATTGAATGTTAGATTCATTAATTATTATATAAATGGTACTTTTTCTTGACATTTTTACTAAAAAAAGAAAGTCTTAATGTTATATGTCTGCAATTAATCATTAACTAAATTCTCTTTCTTATCTAATTACAATTGAAACAACGAGAAAATGGCTCACATTACCACTCTGATAAATCTACAATGGTGTCATTGAGTAAAAACTTTCAATTCTTTATAGCATAGATAATATTGCAACTATTGATGGTCTTCTTTTTGGCTATGTTGTTGATGTTATATTGGATGTACTCACAATATCAGATTTTTTTCTATCATCAAAATATATCGAAAGTGGTAATTGTGGTACATTAACCAATTCTTTGTTGAATTTTATTAATGGTATGATCTTTGTCGATTTTTTCTTGAGTACACTTCGTGTAGCTTTATCATTGAATAATTTTTAATATATCAAGTATATATATTTAGTTTTTGAATAGTAGTAATGCATGGCGTATTCCGTTAGCATTGAAGATTGCTTCAGTATTCATACATTGCAATTGATATTCATTATGGTTTTTCACCTAATTGGTCAAACGAAGAGGACAGAAAAATGAAACATTCACTGTGCTGACTAAAATTTGGTCATCAGTGACATCGTCAGTGGACATACTTCACGCATATAACATTATAACGACATTTGACCATGTCCACCTGATTCAACAAAGTGCCTGTTATACGAAGAACATGTTGCCCGAGCTGTCTGAAAAGAAGCGCTACTTCGTTCTATTTGCATTGACCTTCATGCTAGAAGAGGAATACTCCCGTGTGAACTATGTTTCACAATATTGTCTGCAAAAAGAAGAAGATCCACTTTGACACTATTGGTTTCGAGACATCTTGTCCATTAAAAATGTACATAATAACAAAGATAGTATGCACTTTTATTGTACTCTAACGCACAACCGGGACTCATTCGACTTGTTTGTTGTCATTTATGCGAGCACAGCTTTTCCAATCATTGTGCAAAGATTCAATTGCAGACAAGAGGTGACCATTAATTACATATTCTTTTAACTCTTTCCAGAGCGACTTCTGTAGAACCCGATTGTACATTTTTTTCTGAGTCCATGAATAATGCTTAACGGATTTAGTTAGCTCCCAAATTTTTAAAATACTTGCTGTAATATGACTGTTTTTCTGTCATCATTCGTTCCGCGCGAAACTCGCATCGTGTAACTTGAACATGTCGTTCGACTATGTCTCGGAATCTTCGTTCTATCACTTTGGCGTACACTTCTTCGGCTAGATTAAGTACAGTAATTCTTCTGTATTTAGAGCATTTTGACTAGTTTAGTAGCTGTCAAAGAGATATCATCGATCCCATCTAATGATAATTCACTTAATATATCTCGTGAACCAGATGACGGATTGTAGAGTTTCACAAAATACTTCTTCTGTTCATTGGGTATGTCTTTTTCGCATGTCAAGCGTCGACCAACGGCATATTTTATGGAATGAGTATGTGTTCGTCCACCTTTACAGAGCCAGCAAATGGTCTATTAAAATACTTTGCTAGCTGAATGACAGTTAGATGGTGTCAAAAATTATCCAAGGAGATTGCTTTTGCTTCAGCCACAAGTTTGCTCACTTTGTCTCATAATGGCTTATACCGCTGTCAATTTTCCGCTGTTTGTTGTTCAGTATATACACAATATGTTCGGTTTTAGTCATTAATGTCATGCGAACATTTTTAGTTCACCATGCAGTTTTCTTTTGGCCAGTTTTTAGATCGACAAATTTGGTTTCACATGGTTCTGTCGTAGCATCAACGCCTGCTAACTATATGAAATAAGAGCCGCTCGAATTCAATATTGACTTCCTTTAATGATATCTGAGAAAGTCGTTGATCGACCTATGTTTCTCACCGTATATTGATCAAACTCTTTGGTTTGTTTTTCCTGATGTCGAATAGATGAAAATCGACCCAAAATACAACTCGTCAGACAGTGATTGGTTGCTAGCTCAACGCCTTGTTTGACTCGCTTATCCAGCACACTTTGTCTTTTTGATTAGTTCAGTTTATTACATCTTCTGAACTATATGATCTATTCTAACTCAAGATAAAGAAATGAAGAATGAATTGGCAATCATCTTTGCTATATTGGATGCTTAAATGAATACTGAGAATGATACGAAGTAGGACAACATAAATTCTAGCAACTGCTAGACAAAAAAAAAGTACAATTTATTATATTCTTTTAGAAACACTTAATGTATGTAAAGAAAAATCGATATCTTCTTGTTTAGTTTCTATGACTATATACAATATTAAGATTTCTTCTTAAACAAAATTCACTCCGCTTTATGAAATTTCACTTGTTCCAGACGTCTTTGTTAATAGTTACCCATTTTTCTCGATTCAAGAAATACTGTCCAAGTTTCTAGTATATGACAGCAAAACATGAAATATTATTTTTGTATGTAAAGTACACTGCTCGATGCAATCGAAAATCCCTTCCATTAAAAAATCTTCCTTGAAGAAACGGCACGTTCGACGTAATAGAAGACACCTCTTAATTAATTAATTTCTCGCAAATTTGCAACTTTAATAAATATATTTAATTGAAAATATGTCTAGTTCTCACGGCATTGAGCTAAAATATCGCAAAGACTTACATTAACATTATTTCTTGACTCTTGCGAACATAAAAATTTCTGTCTAAACTCTCACAAACATTTCGATTTTTAAAAAATCTTTTTAATTATAAATTATGAAAATAAATGAACCACAATAGAAGATCAAAGTATCTTCTATTACGAGGATGGCTTTCTTTAATTCCTTATCAGTAATCAATATATTGTAGATATTTCTTAAATATATGACGACCTCTGTCGAAGCCGATTACGATGTGCGGAAATGTTGTCAAAACAAAATACTCATTTACTTTTTTTTGTCTGTTTTAATCTAGTATAGCGTGTGACGCAGTTTGGTTCGTATCTTATTCTGACATGTTCTTCCCTGTTGTTGTTCAGTCGTGCGTAAATAGAAAACGATCGACTTGGATTTTTCATTATTCGAGTAAACAATGGCGATAGTTGATTCAAATTGGAAATCAAATATTTTTTGTCAACTTAAAGAACGTAAACGTCAATCGAATGTATATGAGAACATTATAGAACATTGTATACTTTTTTTTTCTATGATTAAAATTCTGTTTATTTTATCTTTTCTTTTTAAATAGACAATCGCATTTTGGAAAATAATACAATTCTACAAGTTCAATGTGTTAAACTTGAAAAAGATGTTTATCATTTACGTTTAGCTAATTCTGATTTAGAAAAAACAGCTGAAGCAAGGTGAATTTATGTTTTAAAGCATAAAAATATTTATTCTTTTTTCTCTTTATTTTAGTCAAGAATTAGTAAATATTAATAATAAATTAAATGAAGCTAATGAAGAAGTAGTTACACATTTACGAGAGAAAGGTGAAGTAAGTAATGTCAAAATTGAATCTAAATGAGTGCATTATCAATTGTTTTTTTTTCTCTTCTTTTCTTAAATTTAGCTTGCTCGAGAAGTTCTTCGATTAAATCATGCTTTAACTGATATAAATGAAAAGTTCACTAGAGAAGAAATAAAGTAAGAAATAAATAATCGTATTAATTTGATTTGTATTTTGAATTTTTTAGAACTCAACAATATAAAAATGAAAATGATGAATTGCATGAACAATTAGAAATAGCAGAATTTCATATAAATGAACTTGTACAAACTAATCAAGTAAATTTATTTGTTCTTGTATAATGATATTGATATATATTCTATATTTTAAAGATACTTCGAGATGAATTTGAAGCTGTTAAAAGTAATGTTGATCGATTACAAATAGATTATAATCAAATGAAACCAACTTGTATTGAACTTGAACAAGAATTGAAAATAGCTAAACGAATAAATAAACAAATGGAAGATGAATTAATGTTTTATAAAAATCAACAAGCTGCTATGCATGATTATGAAAATGAACAATTTAATAACAAGTAAAATAATATTCTTAGTAATAAATAACGTAAACCTTTTCTTATTGTTTTTAGAGTTAATAAAAAAGTTGAAGTACGAAAACTAGCTGAGCCAAGTATTTTTTTTGATGATGATATTGTTATTGTTCCATCAGTTGAATATTCACCAGATTCATATCAAGATACTTTCGGGAATGCAAAGTATATTTATTAGATTGGTTTTTTTGTTTCTTTTCGATATTATACTTCATTTGATGATAGTAATAATCCAATGTACTATTCTTTTGATGAATCATTACATCGAGAAAATCAAAGTAGTATGCATGGTTTGAATCATGGTGGAAGAAATTTATTAACAAGTTTTATGCGTAAATTTGCACATGGAATAACTAATAGCAGCAATGATAGACTCTATCGAACATCAACAAGTTGTCTGTCGGCTTCTATTCCAACACGTATAACAGCTCGTTGGGTAAGAACTAAATAAAGCATATATTTAAGAGCTAGAAAATTTCTTCTCAGTAAACAAAACAACAACAAATCTTTGTATAAAAAAAGTCTTTGGTTTTTTATACTGATCTTTTCGATTTAACTAAACATTATCAATAAATTGGTAACCGTTACTTACTCGTATTTTCTTATAAGATAGCATTCTGAGATGGTTGAATGATATTAAGAGTAATTTTCTGAATCTGATGGATCGATATTGATTGTAATATTATATATCAGTATAACAAAGTTTATCGAACATTATTCTAATTTTTTTGTACAAATAGCAAATGTATTGTTTTTTTTTTCATTTTCATATTGGATATTAATTGAAAACATAAATTATAGTTTAAGAGAAGAAATCGAAGAAAAATTATGTATTCTAATGCCATTCATATACCATAAAATCTGTTATCTATTATTAATTATTTCATATAGGATTGTACTGAACTTGAAGTATATGCTCTACAATTTCAACCATCTGGCTCAATATTAGCGACAGGATGTAGTGATAAAATGATTCATTTATGGGAAATTTCATCAACTGGTCAACAACATAAATATTGTTCACTTCAAGGTAGTCATGGAGCAATTAATGCACTGGATTTTGATAATGAAGGAGTATGTAAACTATTAAGAATCTAATTTCTATTAATGTTGTTTTTGATAAAATTAGTTTCGTCTTTTGGCTGGATGTTCCGGTGATAAAGCGTATATTTGGTCATATGGAGAACAGAGAATGCTTAAAGATACCTATACTGGTCATGAACGCTTAATAAATACTTGTAAATTTATTTCTGGAACAAAACTAGTAACGGGTAGTGCTGATCGAACAATTAAAATATGGGATTTATATAGTCGACATTGTAAAATTTTTATAATATAATAAATAAAATTATACAAATATTATTTGTTATTAAGGCATTGAAACTTTATTAGCTGGTTCAAAATGTCATGATTTAGTAGTCAAAGATGCAACTGGTACAATCATAAGTGGTCATTTTGATAAAAAAATTCGTATATGGGATCCAATTACAAATAAATGTCGAACTGCATTAGAATATGATGCAGCAATTACATCATTATCATATAATGATGGTATAAAGAAAAAAAAAATCTTTGCAAAATTATACAAAATTTAAAATTTTTTTTCCTTTTAGAAAAACAACGATTGCTTGCATGTTTTAGAAATGATACACTGAGATTAATTGATTTAAGACAAAATAAAATTGTTTCGACATTTAAGTAAGAATTCGAATTATTGATATTTTTAACTAATCTCATTAATTTTGATGATTATTTGTTTTTGTGTTTTAGACATGACAATTTTAAAGTAAGCACAGATACAAACAAAGCTGTTTTATCACCCGATGGTCATTATGCTTGTGTTGGTTCTCAAGATGGTTCTCTAGTTGTGTGGAATATGGAAAATAAACAGTGTGAAAATGTTCTAAAACAAAAACATAAGTTGGCATTAAAATAAAAACTTATTTTATTGTTATTTAATGAGAATTAATTTTCTTTTCGTAGTACAATGGTCACATCAGTTGCTTGGCAACCCGATGGAAAATATGTTGCATCTTGTGAAAAACATCGTCAAGTTATTCTTTGGAGTCAATCATAAATAAATATATTTTTTTTGCATTTTATTGTGACAAATGTTGTTTAAGTAACTTTTTGTTTTGTGTTGTTTCGGATGATCAAAATTGTATTATTATATATCGTCCATGTAAACTAGAAATATAACTCGATATTTATTTCTTTGATTATGTTTGTTTTTACTTGTCATCTATTTTTTTTTTTTTTTGATAGATATAAATTAATTATGGAATGGAAACAGAAAATCTTTAATCAATTACAAGAACGTAATAGACAAGAACGTGATGTTTATGCAGAAATTGTTAAACATTGTAGGTTTTTCTTTATATGTATATTTCAATCAGAAATAGAAAATATTCTTCTTCTATAACAGTCATTAGTTACATTAAACAGATGTTTGTTTCACTATGAGACAAAAAGAAAATACTTTTTCAAAGTCATAATTCTCTATGATATTGGGAAAATGTTCAATTTAAACTAAAGAATTTTGAAAAAACTATTTATAACTTTATGCATGTATGTATAGATAACCGTCTAACTGAAAATTATTCAACAATATTAGTACGATGTACGGAGCAAGAACGTGATATATTAACATTACGTCAAGAAAACACAGATTTGCAAAAAAACAGTGTCAGGTAAATACATGTAATGGTATAGGCAGTATAATTAAAAAATTTATTTTATCATTTCTTTTAGTGTGGCTGGTCTCCCTGTTAATGATAAAGTTAGAACATTAGAAAATGATTACATGAAAGCGAAAGATGAAATACTCACATTACTAAGAGAACGAGGCGACGTATGTTTTATATTTGTTTATTTTTTTCTTATTCATCTGTTTTTATTTATTTTTAGATGACGAAAGAAGTAATTAGTCTTAGTCGTCTTGTTAAAGAAAGAGATGAAAAACTTTATTCTGAACAAAATAAGTCTGTATTTTGTTCTTCTTATCTTACAAATGATATATGGTTGTGTTTTTTAAGAAATCAAATATTAACAAAAGAAAATATATCATTGAAACAACAACTTGAATCAGCTCATGAACAATTGAGTGCCTTGAAGAAAGTTAATGAAGTAAGTTGAAGAATATGTTAACTAAAGTCATAATTGTCCAAACATATCGTTTTTCGATAGTAAAATAATTTATATATAGTAAATTTATAACTCATTTTCATGAGATGATAGGATATATCTATGAAAGATTCTATATGATGGCAAATGGACATTTACTTATGGATGATAAAAAAGTATCAGGAAATAGATTTTATTTGTAATTAAGAAAAGTAAACCATTCAAGATATTGTATTCGATCTATTGAATAGAATTGAACATTGAGAGGTTTTAAATAAGTTTTCAACTTTCTTAATTGCTCTCAGTACAAACTATTAAAATATCAAAATAATCGGTTTTCTAAAAAGTATGCTACGATCAGTCATTTGTTACCAAGGATGTAGAAATAAAATGTAATGTTATTAATGAGGGAAGAAGAAATTAACTTTTTCGATATATTCTAATTTGTCAATTAGCAAATTTCATTCACGAAGACAGTTATGACAATTTACAAATTTCATAGTACAATTATTGAGAAGAGAACTCATAATCTTATCCTGTTTGACTTGAGTTGCTTAAGGATATGAGACCTAGTGGAACTTATTTTATGTTATTTTGTTGGATTTATTGGAACCATGATTATTTATCGAATTGAATCTATTAATAGTATAGAATACTATTGAACCATATCAAAAGAAGAATATAATTTTAAAGTGTGAGCCCTCACGCTTGACCAAGGATCTACCACCTCTCCACATAATTCCCTATGTTTCATGATCACATGTATAGCGGAATTAATAGATAGATCCTAAATATATAAATCATAGATGTTGCTGAAGCATCTTCAAGCTATTGTAAAACTTCCTTTAAAAAAAACGAAAACTTCTCTCTTTAGACAATACATGATGAATTTCAAGCATTACAATTAGCCTATACACAATTAGAAGAACGTCAAAAAGAATTAGATGCAACCATTGCTGTTTTACGTCAAAAAATGACTGAAAAAATAGAGAAAAAATGTAATGCATTAGATGAAGAAGTTAAATTGCATGAAAAGTTTGTTTTATAAGAAAAATTTGTTTTTCAATCTGTAAAATTATTTTCCTCTTTAGACGAATGGAAGACGATGTTAAAAGAAAATTAGATGAAGCTAAAAGTGATGTTATGATACCGACATTATCAAATTTGATGTAAGTGTATATGCTTCCAAGTTTATTTTTCAAATTGTTTTTTTTCTTTTAGTTCAACTACAACAACAACATCAGTAACACAATTGAAAAATACCAATCAGGATGGAAAAATACATCTGACACCAACAGTAGATTTCATCAAAGTCGTTGTACCTAAAAAAGCTATATTCAAATGGGTCAGTTTTTAAAAAAATGTCTTGATGTGAGTGAGTGAGGTTTTCACTGATCATTCTCGGTTTTTTTTATCATCTAGGATTGTGGTGATAATGAATTACATGCTATTCAGTTTCATCCATCTGGATCATTAATTGCAACAGGTGGTAGTGATAGAAAAATTCATATTTGGGAACTGAATGCTCATAATAGTAATCAAAATAATCTTTTTTCTTTATACAAGTTAAATAGAAAATTTTTCATGTAGACCAAGTTCAACAAGCTTATGTTCTTACTGGAAATAATTCAACAGTGACAGCTATTGATTTTGACAGTGAAAATGTAAGAAATCAAAAGCAAAATTTGATTGTTTTTTGTTATATATATATATAAGAATGAAATTTGTAATAGGCTAATTTAATTCTTGGATGTTCAGAAGATTTCGCTTGTCGTGTTTGGGGTCTTGCTGATCAACGCTTACGTCATACATTAACTGGTCATGGTGCAAAAGTTTTTTGTGCTAAATTTGTTACTGCAAGTTTGATCGCATCAGGTAGTCAAGATCGAACGTTGAAATTGTGGGATTTACAAAATCGTCAATGTAAATTTTTTTCGTTTTTCTTTATTCAATATTCAATTATTTAGATTTCAGGTGTCCGAACTTTATTTGCTGGATCGAAATGTCATGATTTAGTTGCACTTGATGCATCTGGAAGTTTGATTAGTGGTCATTTTGATAAAAAAATACGTTTTTGGGATGCTCGAAATGACTCAACTAAATGTGAATTACAATTACAAGCAGCAGTTACTTCATTATCAATTAATCGAGGTACTCAAATAAAGCAAATGATAGAATTATATGAATATTTTTTCATTTTTCAATTCAGAAAAACAACTATTATTGGCTTGTTCACGGGATGATACACTTAAATTAATTGAACTCAGAGAAAATCGCGTTATACAAACATTTAGGTAAACACTTGCATTTTTATTTTAATAGAAGTATTAATTAGTTCACAAGAATTTCTTTTTTTTTGAGACATTTACATTATAAGTAGTTTTTAGTAAACTGATGAGTTGCGATTACATATTCTAACGACTCGGAAAATTATTTGTTGATCTTATGTG